TGTTGAGGCACATGCCCTCGATGATGACGTCGGCGGCCGAGTCAAAGGCCTTCGTCCTCTTGCGGCCCCGTTTGCCGTCCTTGTTGCTGCCGCCACTCCCACTAGGGCCACCACCGCCCCCTCCACTGCCGTGGCCGCCCTTTTCGCCGCTGGCCGCGTCCGAGTTTGCCTGCTTCTCCTTCACCTTCTCGATCTCGTCGTCGATCTGAGTGATCTGTTTGTCCACCAGGTTGTACGTCTGCTGCGAGAGCTGCATTTTCTCCTCGCAGAGGTGTTGCGCTTGAGAGTACAAAATGTGCACCTTTTCCATCTCCTCCTGTTTCTGCTCCGGCGTGAGGGTTTCTGCCCGGGCGAGGTACTGGTCGACCNGCGCTTGAGAGTACAAAATGTGCACCTTTTCCATCTCCTCCTGTTTCTGCTCCGGCGTGAGGGTTTCTGCCCGGGCGAGGTACTGGTCGACCATGGCATCAGCCTGCCTGGTCAGTTCTGTTGGTAATGGTTGTTTTATAAATAGGAGAGAAAAAAAGAGAAAAATTGGGAGTTAGACAAGTTAGAAATGAACAATGGACTGGGTTTTTAAAACATGACAACTTACTTTGAACCTTCTGGTCAAGGTCGGTTATTAGACTTAGGTTTCTCCGGACATTACAGGGTAAGTTGTGTATGCCTGAAAGAGAAAGAAAAGTTAGTTTTGAGATAAAAAGCACAAATAAAATTCATACTTTCAAGAAACGGATCCAAAATTCCAGACATTTCTGCAAACTTTTTTGAAAAGGAGAAAGTTTCTGAGGAAGTCAACAAAGCTAATTTCTTTTGCTTTATCGTTCTTTGTTTTAAACTTTTTTAATTGAAGATAACAAATCGAAATCAAGGTAAAAACAACAATAGTCAACGTAAACTGCTTAAAATTGGCGCATTAGCAAGCGCTCAAGAAAAAAAGAAAACATTTTTTTATTTTTGTGGGTCATTCGTAGAAGACGTAACTTTTGTTATTTCAAATCAGATCTGCTTGATTTTCACCCACTTCAAAACTGCGCAAGCAAATATTCAAGGTATTTTTTGTGATTGACAAGTTTCAATGATATCAAGTTTTTATTGAATTAAAAACAAATTGTGCCTTGCAGCAAGCAAAACTCGAATACTCTTTTTTAGGAAGCAGGGTGATTCTGGCTGGCGCCACAACAACAACGGTTCACAACAACAAGAGGATGAGGAGGACAGGAG